TCTCGGGTGGGAGAGAGCTACAGCACTAGGTTTGTTTTTTTCTGGGGCCTTTGCTTCAATTGTTTCCTGGAGAAATCTGATCTCAGAGCCCAGACAAAAGCTGGGGCTAAAGGAGAAACCCCATTCTTTCCTCTAGTCCCTAACCTCTCCCCTACCCCATCCCCATAACCTCTCTCGCTTTAGATGCTGGGTATGGGTTCCAGGACCTGGCTGCCATCACCTAGGCAACAGGGGGCTTTGGTTGCTATGGTGATCAATGTGGGAGAAGCTGGGCAGCAGGGACAAAAGACCCCCCCCCCCCAACTCCCTCGGGATGAGGCTAAGACATTCCATTAATTTTATTTCTGAAAGACCTTTGGGGGGAGGGGGTCCCCCCTCTTTTTGTGAAGGGTCTTTTCCCTCCTTCTGGCCTTCTTTTAACCCCATATGGGCTGTTGAAAAGAATTAGTTTTTTTTTGGAGGGGAAGATAGGTTGGAGCTGGGATTGGAGTCCCAATTTATAGGCCCTCTCTTATCCCTCCGAGCTCCCTGCTCCGCCCCAAGCCCATAATTCCCTCCCCCTCTCCCTTTCAGCATTCCCACTTGTTGCTCTCTCTTGTCCCCACCCCCTTTCCTGAGAATCCTGCCTACCCTGGAGACACTGATGCCCAATCCCTGGGACTAACTTAAATAAGGAAGGATTCCTCCCCTTTCCTTTCTGTTGTGGCTGGGTTGGTAGTTGGATGTTTCGGGGAGCAGCTGGCTTGAGTCCCAGACTTTTGGATTCTGTCCTAGACTTTCAGTGACCTTTGGTGGGTGGTATTTGGGGCTTTCTAGGTACCCTGTCCTATTTTTTTGGGTGGAGGTTAATTAGTGCATGAGGGTAGTGGGGATGGTAGAAGAGAATGGAACTTGCTGTCTCTTTAAGAGTAGCTTGGGGAAGGAGGTGGATGCTTGAGCCTGTTCCCCAGGCAGGGGGTAGGGGTGGGTGGCTGGGAAGGGGCCTGTGGGCTGAACAGGCAAGAACAAAGGACTAGGGGGAGGGGGCTGCTGGTGGCTGGCCCTGTGTCTGTTTTTAAAATTTATCGGTGGGGATAACACAGCCCCATCAACCTCTCTTCTGCATGTGTTTGAAGTGACTTTTCT